CGGGCACCCCGCTGCCACCGCCCGGCCCCACCGCGGGGCTCCCGCGGGGATCGCTGCTCCTCGCCGTGTCTTCATCTGCAGAAAGGAGCAGAGGGAAAAGACAGGTGGTACCCCCAGCGCTGGCAGCTCTGAGAGTTCCGGCTCACACCGAAATCCCTTTTGCCTGGACCTTCCCAGGGCGTGGCAAGAGGAGTTTCTGCTGCACCCCCAGCTGATGAGCCCAGCAGGGCACAACCCCAGAGCCTCCAACACCCACACGTGGATCTTGCAAGGTCAAAAAAATGCTTCTGCCCCCTGTGCTGGGAGAGGGAGAGGCTCTGGGTATGACCTGAGCACGGGCTAACGTAGGGAGGGGAGGAACAAAGATTTCTGTGGGAAAGCAGCAGAAAGTCTGGAAGAGACAACAAAAATCAACAGAGAGAGAGAAATCATCCCAAATCCACTCGTTCCCATTAAACACTCAGAAATCCATTCTGCAGCACGGGTCAGACCAATGCCTGGCATCCAGCCATTTACCAGGGTGGCACCTCCATCCCCCAGGAACAGCAGCAGTTCCACCTCTGCCACCCAAGCAGCAGCAGTGCAGGGGTGCCCAGAGGGGACAGCAAGAGTCCAGGCACAGCAGCAGGCTGCTCGGCCTCTGCTGCCTCAACATCTCCTCACAAATCCACTCCTACCTGTGTGGTTGTCCAGCATGAAGGGGATTGCTGAGAGCAGGACAGAGGGGTGGACAGCTGCACCACGGCCCAGCCCACTGGGGAACCTTCCTGTCTGACCACAGCCATCTGCTCTCCTTGCTGCTGGTTGCTTGACGTGGACACAGGAGGGGTAAAAGTCTTCCAGTGACTTCCATAAGGCAGCAGGGATTGAGGACTCCCCAAGAGAATGAGGTGTCTACAAGTGGAGATAAAAAAAACCCCTCACTCTGTGGTTGTGCACAATCCAATCATCCATCTTTGTTATCCCTCAGGCTCCACAAAGATCTGGAATGGCAGCAAATGGGTGATTTACACAAACCAACCCCCTCAAACAAACCAACAGAGCCCCAGGCAGAAGGAATGATGGTGACAAGAGGGAGTTCTGCCATGGAGTGGAACCCAGTCAGAGGAAGTCCCTCTGCAGTTTTGCTTAAGAATACAAATTGAACTGAAGTTCCAGGGATCATCCCCCAGGTCTCAGCCACAGAGAGGGACCAGAGAGGATCTTTGTGTTTGCTAACTGGGCACAGAGGAGAAAACCAGTGAAACAGAGAAGCAGCCATCCAGCTTGCCTGAGCACAGCTCTTCAGAAAGGAGCTGGTGCAGAGTCACCACCCAGAGGTGCTGCCCTCCCCCTCTGCAGAGAGGGTGTCCAGAGGATCACCCAGGACAAAGGAACTGTCCTCCCACGAGCAGAACTGAGCAGTTTAAACTCCCACTAAGGGGCCACGAGGTGCTCCTGAAGCAGCAGGGGGAGAGACATGGCTGGGCAGAGGAGATTCTGTGCTGACAGGATGACACGACAGGGAAATTTGAATGACAGGCAGCACTGGAGTCCAATGAACCAACTGCTCAGCTTGATATCACCAGCACACTCAGAGCCTGGCCTAATGGGCAATAAAAAGCTGTGCTAGAGCAAGAAAAAACCAACAGAGCAAAGAATCAGGGTCAAATAACTGTGGTCTCCTCTTGCCAGCCACGCTGTCCTTGGAGAAGTGTCAGTGCCACTCCACAGCAAGGCAGGACCAGACAGGGTGCAAGGCTGGACACTGAGGATGTCTGCTTGGCCTGGAAGAAGCTGGCATGCAAGGAACAAACAAAAGATGGTCCCTGCTCTTCCTCCAGCTTCCCCCAGTGAGGAAGAGCAGCACAGAAGAGCTGAGCAGTGAGCACTGGAAGGAGGGAATGCCACTGCTGGTGCTGGAGTGCCACAGAGCCCCGAGGCCAAGGGATGAGCAGGAACCAGAGGAAGGAAATCCTGCCTGTCCTCAGCCTGCTCATGCTTTTTCTCCCCTGCACATCTATAAGCTATTTTTTAGTAATGAAATGAATTATTTTTAACAGAAATTCTTGTCACTTCCCCTAAAGACTGGAACAGAGATCACAGCCAGGGACAGAAAACGTGCCCAGGACTTCTCTGGTCCAGTTAGGAAATGTCTGGGCTTCAAAACCCACACAGGGGGGTTTAGTAGTTGCAGGGGAGTGTTTAGGTCAGCTCACAAGGATCCCATCACTATCTGCCCACCCGACTCCACCTCATCTCAACATCCTTTCTCCCCACAGCTGCTACAAGAGGTTTCTCTCTTCTCTCACTCTCTCAAGGTCCTTTTTCTCAGGACTGTGGGTAGAGGTGAAGCAGAGGAATGAAGGGGGGTGAGGTTTGATCTATACAGTGCTAGAACAGCCTCGTTTCCACAAGATCTTGGTGCAGCAGTGAGGCACCTGTGGATCACCAAAGCCACCAGAGCAGCAGCAGTGGGGGGAACGTGCTGCTCTGAGCCTGTGCCAACACCCAGTCCTCAATTCCTTGCCAGTCCCTTTCAGAAAAATACATCTCAAAGCAATCAAAGGGTTATAAAAAAGAACCACCCCTCTGCACAGCAGCAGCTGAGCAAAATGCCCTCACCTGAACCACTGCCATGAGCTCTGCAGAAGTTCCCTTTGTATCCTCCTCTGCCAGTTCAGGGTCCTGGTCTGTTCTTGGAAGCCTGTCTTCATCCAAAAGTGGCTGCACATCATCCTGCATCTCCTCCTCAGCAGAGAGGTGCTGTTGCTAAGGAGGTGGACAAAGCCAGAGAAGGTCCAGCTAGTGCAGGCAGAAGGAAGGAAGCACTGGAGCAAACTCCAGAGCAATGAGATGACACCACTTGGGGATGAATGGAGAGAGAACTGCACATTGATTTCTTCCCAACACATAAAATGAGACTCTGCTTTGGTGTCCTTCAGTGGAGGTGATACATCAACACTGCAAGGCCACCAATGCCCAAGACCCACAGCTTGTACAGAGCTTCTCTAGAACAGAAACACAGCTGGCTAAAACAAAAGCCAGGTGAAATGATGGCTTTAGAAGTGACAGCTTTTACTCTTATTTCAGGGAAATGTCAGAAAAAACAGCCCTGGAGCAGGCCCACTGTGGAACACTTCAGCAGCTGACATTTACTTGAGAGGTGCTTTGGGCCCTGTCATAAAATGGGTCATTAAAATACCACTCCAGTCACACAGGAGAGGAGAGTCACCTGCAGACAAGTGTTGCTCACAGGACTCCATGGGATTGTACACCAGAGCTGGATTCTGCTCCCTGCTTAGCCCCTCTGCTCACCACTTTATGCAGCTGTTGAACAGCAAAGGGCTCCTCTTCTGAACATGCTCTAAATCCAAAGGTGTAAAGCAGTATCCACACCACTCACCTTCAGAGCCACCTTTCTAAGAGCACTGCACTTGTGCACAACCTCACCCCCTGCAACCACCAGGATCCCAAACTGCTGCCTGGAACCAGCAAGACCTTGCTTGCTTTTTATAGAAGCAAACAACCAACTCCACAAAACACCTGCATGGGACTAAACCAACACAGGAGCTGACCTCACTGGGTCAACACTGACCTCAGTGGGTGACAGTGACAGCAGAGCCCAGCTCCTACCTGCTCACAAGGTCCCTCCTCCTCCACCTTTGAGCTCCTTGTTTCACTATCTGCTCCCAGAGACTCCTGCTGCAAGCCAAGCTCTGGCTCCACCAGTTCAGCATCCCTCTGCTCTCCACGGGGCTGAACATACAAGGCCAAAGGGTTCAGCTCCATGAATTCCTAGGAACAAACCAAAGAACTCAAGTATAGTCAAGAAAACCACGTTGTAACTAGGACAAAAACCAAAAAGGATTCAGCCACTTTAATTGGTTGTATGAAGTTAGATCCATGTTCTTGCACAAATTGTCATACCATGAGAATCAACTCCCCTTCCTCCACCAACAGGAGTCCTCTCCCTCCCCCAAAATGGACACACAGATGCAAAAGAAGAGTCCTGGAATCTAATCCTGCTTTGCTACTTTGCTTTACCTCATTATTTAGTCAAGTTGTGCATCAGCTTCAGATGAAGCTGCAATTCCAACCAGCTCATCAGCTTTCAATAAACACCCAAACCAACAAAACCTTCTCATCCACTGTTAGAAGACAGGATGAAACCCAATTTTTCTTCTACAGCAGAACAGCTCTGCTGTACCAGTCACCAAAAAGAAAGCTCTTCACCACAGTTAGACACTGGAGGATGCAGAGGACACCAGCTTTGCTCTTCACAAAACAACTTGCTTCAGGCTGAAGATCTTCCCACTGCAGGCACCCAACCAATCCCTTCCCTGCCCTTCCTTTCAGCAGCACACCCCCCCTCCTGACCTGGGAAGGAAGGTTCTCCCTGCAGATGTCAGCGTGTCCCCTGTCTCTCAGGACGTGGTGGAAGTAGACATCCTGCCTGGTGGAGGTGTCACACAGGAAGAGGTGCAGGATGCCACTGATGTACTCATCCACGATGCCCACGAGCATGCTGGAGCCACACAGCTCCTTGAACAGCAGAGTTGCTGCACTGGACCACCTGCCCTGAAGCCAAAACACCCATGTGAAGGTTCTAGAAACACACCAACAGCCACCAGCTGAGACCTTCCCTTGTGGGCAGGAAGGGAACAGAGCCAGGTCAGGTGAGTGAGCAGTGCAGGAGTCACTCAGATGAGCTTTCCCAGCACTGCCCTCCACTGAACAGCCCCAACACCCCCAGTCCCAGTTGCACTGGGCCTCCTTTCACCCTAAATGCTTATTTCCAAACACAGGTCGATGGCATTCACCTGGGATTTTATCACAACTACCTCAAATACAGTTGCTTTGGTTGGGTTTTTAAAAAAGAACAAATCCTGGAATGGTGATTATGGAAAGTGTCAGGTTTGAAGAAGCTGCTGAGCTTCATGTCAGTGAAAATGGTGATTCTTTAACCTTCAAAACACAGAGGAGATAACTGTTAAAATATAATGTCTTTACAACACAGATGAAGCAGCTCTGCTCACATGCTGTCCTTAAGGGATTGTGTTTCTCCTGCTTCTCAACCAAGAGGTTTCCCAGCACAGAGGAACACTCTGATGACCTCTCTGACTCTCTGGCTATGCTAACTGCACCAAACCAACTCCTTTTAAACTCTGTCACACAAGAAACTTTTAAGAGAGAGGACTGGAGCTACCAAGGCTTCAGAAGAACCCTGGAGAACTAGCTGCAGGGGAAGAACTTCACTCATTTAACAGCTGCTCTCTGCTTCTGCAACAGTAGAAGCAAGAACACTGTGATCCTAAGGAAACCAGGCAGCAGAAGGGGGACACAACTTACCCAGTCACACTCTGCTGAATGCAACAGCAGCAGTTCTGGTGTAAACACCAGTGGGACCTGGACTAACCCAAATGTTTGCCCTTACCAGGAGAGAAAGCCAACCTCTACTTGACAGCTCTGATAGCTGAGTCAATAAGCATCAGCCCACGTGAGCACTCACCTCCACAGGTTGTACCCTTGCCAAGGAACAGGGGATGGCCTGAGCAGGGAGCTTCAGGTAACGCTGCCTGCAACACAAACCAAAGCCATTACCCCCACAGCAAACACAGAGCAAAGCCCTGCAGGAGAGCAGAACTTCCTCCTCTGCTGGGTTTTCAGACCAGCTGAGGAACAGAGGCACGTCTTGGATTCTGCACTTGTGGCTCAAACCCAACAGCAGCTTTGGAAAAGGCTCCACATGCAGAGAATGGACAGAGCAGTAACAACTGGTCCCTCGTGCCTTCTTCTCTGGCCCACACATCTTCCCACCAAACCCCCTGATGACTGTAAGGCTATGGACAGGCAGCAAGGACTCCTGAACCAAAGAATGTCAGGGGCCAGGCACGAATGGAGGCAAATGAGGGGGAAGATAAACATGGAAAAGGTTCTGAACTTCAGAGAACCAGCACCTCTGACACTGCAAACACACCCCACTTGGGCTGCTGGCCATGCAAGAAGGATGTTTACAGCCATTCATGGAGCCCAGGAAGGAGGAGCAGGGAACTCATCCCAAAGTGACAGAAAGCAGCAAGAGGAAAGACTGAGGAGTGAAGGCAGAAAGAGGAAAGGACCTGGCCCAAAGTCACAGTGAGGGGTGATGGACAGGGCTGAGCACAGGGCCTGGAGTGGTCAGGAGAACAATGTCACCTCAAGCATGGCACATAAGGAAACACCTGCCAGGCACCACCAGGGGATAAACCCCCAACCTTCTGAGGAGATCCATACACAGGTTTCTGTGTCAGCCAGCCAGCATCCTCCATCCCTGGTGAGGAGATGGAATGACTGTCCTGGGAACCATTTCCAGGCACTCCAAGGACAAGAAGGTGACTGGGAGTAGCCAGCAAGGATTCACCAAGGGGAATCCTTGTCACACTTAACTGACCTGACAGCCTCCTACAATGAAATCCTGGCCTGGCAGGTGAGGGGAGAGCAGAAGCTATTGTTTGCCTTGACTTCTAAGGCTTGAATTTTAAGAAGAGTGTGACCAGGAGGTCAAAGGATGTTCTCCTCTCCCTCTATTCTGCAACAGTGAGGCCACATCTGGACAGCTGTGTCCAGTTCTGGGCTCTCCAACTCAGAGAGACATGGAACTACTGGAGAGAGTCCAACAGAGGGCTACAAAGATGACCAGAGGACTGGAACATCTCTCTTGCAAGGAAATGTTTAGCCTAGAGAAGACTGAGAGGGGATCTGATCCATATCTAAAGGGCAGGGGTCATGAGGATTGGGCCAGACTCCTGTCAGTGGTGCCCAGTGACAGGACAAGGGGCAACCAGCACAAACTAGAACACAGGAAATTCCACTGAAACACAAGGAGAAAATTCTTCACTGTGAGGGTGATGGAGCCCTGGAGGAGGCTGCCCAGAGAGGTTGTGGAGTCTCCTCCTCCACAGGGACTCCAAACTCACCTTGACACACTCCTGTGCAACTTGCTCTAGGTGACCCTGCTTTGGCAGGGGGGGGGCTGGACAAGGTGATCTCCAGAGGTCCCTCCCCATCCCTACCATTCTGCAATTCTGTCAGGCTTCTGACACTGTGTCCTGTAAGATCCTCACAGAGAAGCTAATGAAGTGAGTGCAGGATGAGCAGACAGTGAACTAGACTGAGAACTGACTGAAGGGCCAGGCCTGGAGAGTGGTGATCAGTGGTGCAAAGTCTAGTTGGAGGCCAGGAACTAGTGGTGTACCCCAGGGGTCAACACTAGGTCCAATACCATTCATTGTCTTCATTAACCATCTAGATGATGGGGGACAGTACCCTCAGCAAGTCTGCTGGTGGTACAGAACTAGCAGTGGCTTACACCACAGGGCCATGCTGCCATTCAGGGACCTTAACACAACAGAGAAATGGGCAGAGGAACCTCGTGAAGTTCACCAAACTCCTGCACTTTGGGAGGACCACCACCACACACCAGCACATGTTGAGGGCAGCATTTTTACCACGAGGGTGACCAAGCATTGGAACAGGCTGCCCACAGAGGTCGTGCAGCCTCCATCCTATTGGGAGACACCCACAAAACATCTCCATGTGGCCCTGGGCAGCCTGACCTAGATGGCTCTGCACGAGGAGGGAGGTTGGGCAGGATGCCCTCCAGAGGCCTCTTCCAGCCTCGGCCGTACTGCGACTCTGTCGCCCGTCTGGGACTGACTTACCTGAGGAATCTCAGACAGGATTTTTGGACAATTTCGAGGTTTCCATAATCTGTGTAGAAGACCTCTACTTCTTGGGGACCGATCACACGGTGGATGACAACTCGGTACCACCAGCAGGCAGCCATCACACAGCAGAGCTGACCAGACCTCACCGAGGACTCGGGCAGGACGTAGCGATCGCACAGACGCTTATCTGAGTAACAGTTTCTGCAAAAAAACCATCAGAGACTGAACACAGAGAAACAGACCCAGCTCCTGCAGAGCCCACACTCCTCACAGGGCCCTGACATGAATTCCTAGCAGCTGTTCTACAGATACCTTGCATCTTTATTCTGGCACCCTTGGCAACTGGAATGACAACAAACGCACCCCCAAGTTTTTAACACTGGAGTGATTCTCTTGAGGTCCAACAGGAAGTTGACTAATGGGGATTAATCATTTTGGTCATTCATTTTAACATTTCCTTGACACGTCAAGGTTTCTTATAAACCAGGGTCTGGAGTGCTGGTTCACATACTAGTCTGCAGTCTGGAATCACACAAACATGTGCTCCACAGACATGAAGCATTTACTTTGGCATGTCATGAACAGCAAGAGTAGCACTGGTGTGGTGGGACAGAAACCCCAGTGGATAATGTAACCAACACAAACAGTCACTGATGGAGTTTTGCTTCTAAATAAAGATATGACAAAGACTTGCTACCAGCTGCTTTTTGGTAAGTGTTGATGGAAACAAAAGCCTTAACCAAGCACAGCAGCACAGACAAAAGGGGGTGCAAAGAGGTGATGTTCCTTTCTATAAGCTTTTAAAGTTAGCACTGTGTGGGACAGAGCCAAACTCCCCTGAACTGCCACTAACCACACTCTTTGCTGGCTAGCTGGAAGGAATGGCTAAGCATAATGAGGACATGTTTCACCCATCAAGTCCCCCAGCAGCAGCACCCAGGACTGACAGTTGGGTGCCCTGTGCTGCCAGGAACACCCACCCCAGGAGTGGCAGCACTATGGTGCCGCCTGCCCGCACCTCAGCTCAATCATCATGTCCAGCAGCTCATCAGGGGTGTCCCTGCTGCAGGCGTGGACGTAGAACTGGCTCGGGGAGATGATGAACCCCACGAAGATTCCCACCATCCACCTCCTCCCCAGGGGTGGTAAACCACACAGGCTCCCCTCCTGAACGGCGTCCGGGGGGATTTCGGGGGTCAGGATCAGCCTCTCCAGCGGGGGCTGCTCCAAGGCTGGAGGCTGCAAAGGGACGAGAGGAAGGTGGCACTCAGATGTGTGTGGAACACACATGACTGGCTGTTAGAGTCAAATAAAAACATTCTGTTCTTGGGGACCTGTGGATTCCTGAGCACCAGAGAATCCCAACAAATTGTGCAGACAACACCGAGCTGTGTGGTGT